GGGAAATAGAGTGGGGTTTGAATACCTCTCCATGCTCTTATTATTGGAATTCTTAGGTTTTTTTTATTGGTAGTATCATTCATTCTCATAGGCTTGCCCAGTAAGGGAAATACTCCCCCGGAACTTTTGGATGTGGCTCAATACAAAGGGATCATCAGTATTACTGAGATGTTACCCGCTCAGCACATCCACAAAGTGTATTAAAATATTATTCCTTTGCATTGAGAAGTTTGACCAGAGGAATGCTTTTCTGACATATGTATGGCTCCCCCACTTAGCAATAACCAAGCAGGGAAACGTCCCTCCCTCTGCTCTTGCCACCCCTTCCCCTGTTCAGCACATCATCCCGTTGCTCCTCTCCCCCTAGAAATCCCCACTCCGTAGGGGCAGGGATCCAGCTGTAAATAGGGGCTGGGTAGGGTGCATTTATAATAACCCAAGCTCTGCAAAGTATTAAAGGAGCCGTTATCCAATGCCAGACGAGGGCCACTGTGCGTCTTTATTGCTCTCTCGATCAGCTAAGCTTCCCACTTTTCCGCAAGATGCCTCAGCTAGATTTGCTTGCTGTTCAAGTCCTTGAGCGTCCCTGTAACCACACCCCTCAGATCCACCTCCCTTTCAGGTTTCCTTTGTTCGTCACCGTCGCTCACACTTGTACACAAACACATGCATCTGTGGAGCATTTATGGAAGCGGAATAATATTGGTAGATGGTTGGTTGGAGCGGCATTGGACTTTCCCAATGTTTAGCCTGCATTTGACTTCTTAAAGGCCCTGAAAGAAAGCCAGGAAGAAGAATATTTTTTAAAACTCCATGGGTGAGAATATGTCATTATTTCTTACTATACCATCAAGAGCCAATGTGGTGTAATCATTTGAATGTTGGGCTACAACTCTGGAAACCAGAGTTTGAATCCCCTCTTGGCCATGGTAACCCTGGGCAAGTCACCTACTTCCAGCCCCATAAAACCCAGTGATAGATTTGTTTAAGATCACCATAAGTCAAAAACAATTGGAAATGTATTGCCGAAGTCTTCCATGGCCAAGATCACTGGGTTGTAGGTTTTTCGGGCTGTATGGCTATGTTCTAGAAGCATTCTCTTCTGATGTTTCACCTGCATCTCTGGCAGGCATCCTCAGAGGTTGTGAGACTCTGGCAAAACGTCAGGAGAGAATGCTTCTAGAACATGGCCATGTAGCCCGAAAAACCTGCAACAACCCAAGTTGAAATGTATCACTCTGGAATATACTGCCTGTGAGTCCAATGGAGTCTCCTTCTCTGGAGGCTTTTAAGCAGAGTCTGGATGTCTATCTATCAGGACTGTTTTGGAGCCCCCGGTGGCACAGTGGGTTAAACCCTTGTGCCGGCAGGACTGCTGACTGAAATCAGGGAGTGGGGTGAGATTCAAATCAGGGAGTGGGGTGAGCTCCCGTTTGTCAACTCCAGGACATGAGAGAAGCCTTTCACATGATGGTAAAACATCTGAGCATCCCCTGGGCAACATCCTTGCAGATGGCCAATTCTCTCACGCCAAAAGCAACTTGCAGTTTCTCAAGTCGCTCCTGACACAGGGGAAAATAAAAGGAGTGATTTGATTGTGTTTTCCTGCATTGTAGGAGGTTGAACTGGATGGCCCTTGGGGTCTCTTCCAGTGCTGGGAATATATGATTCTCTGAAGGCTCACAACAACAGTGATATTAGGATAGGAGTTTAAGATTCAGGGATGGGACCTCACACAGAAGAACGAACAGGAGGATTACCAAACCTCATAGGTCTGGCCTACTGTTTTTAAAGGAGTGTACATTGCTTTCTTCTGAAAGACGGCCGCAATTCCTTTCAGACCACTCAATTGGGTGTCTATAACAAACAAACGGTGCCATTGACTACTTTCCAAAGTGAACAGGAATAATAAGGGTGTAAATTGGAGTGGACTGGGCAAGGGGCAAGATGACACATACACTTTGGAGATGATCTGATAGAGGAAGAAGGCCAGGATAATGATGACAGATCCTATTAGGATAGTACGCAGCAGGTTGGGGAAGTTACCTGTAAGAGACAGAAGAGAAGCCAGCTCACAGATTCCTTTCCCCTCACAGCATGGCCCTTGCAAACATAGGATACCAAAAGGAGCGGAGCAATACAACTCAGAAAGACAGAAACAAAGCTTGAAACATTGTCCGAAAGAGGAATGTTTATAAGCTCTGCAAAAAAAGTTGCTTCCTAGTTCAACCCATTGGTCCTTTTAGCTTAGGGTGCATCTCTACACTGTGGTTTGGCACCACTTTAACCACCAAGGCTCAATGCTATGGAGGATTGGGAGCTGTAGTTTTACAAGGCCTTCTTTTACAAATAGTGCTTGTGCCTCACCAAACTACAGATCCTTCCATTCCACAGCACTGAGCCATGGCAGTTGAAGTGGTTTCAAACGGCATTAATTCTGCAGTGCCTTTAGTCTCTCTCATCTGCAGTGCTCAACGGCAAGGGATGCAAGGAGGTTATTTTCCTCAGCCTTACCTGGAGATGGCAGAGTTTGAACTCTGGAGGGATGCGCTCTGCTCTACCTTTAAGCTCTGTTCCCTCCCATAAGGCTTTTTCCCCTTCCCAAGGACAGCTTTACATCTGATGGAAGTCTGCAAATGAATGGGCTTTTATGGGGCACAAAAAGAGACTCTCACTTGGGGCAACAAATTCCGGCTCTTCTCCAATGTACTTATAAATGTCCAGGATCTTCTTTTTGTTCGAGTCAGGATAATCAAACCAAAGTCGTCCACTGGGTGTAGAGTCCATTGTCTCCTAGACTTTCTGCAGCGGCTGTGGACCCAAGAAGTCAAAAATGTGCTAATAGTGAAAGTTTCCAAATCCTCAAAGCCCATTTTAAAATTATACACCAGAAGCAGGGCAATCTCTGCTCTACCCTATTCAGCTGTTGTGGGATTGACCTTCCCATCATCCCCATTGAGGCATTATTTTTTCCATAGTCCAGTATTTCTCAACCTGGGGGTCAAGACCACTGGAGGAGGCTCGCGAGGGGGTGTCAAAGGGCTTGCGCCAAAGACCATCAGAAAACACTGTATTTTCTATTGGTCATGGGAGTTCTTTCTGGGAAGTTTGGCACAATTCTATCATTGATGGGGTTCAGAATGTTATTTGATTATAGGTGAACTATAAATCTCAGCAACTATAACTCCCAAATGTCAAGGTCTATTTCCTCCAAACTCCATCTGCATTCATATTTGGGCATATGGAGTATTTGTGCCAAGTTTCGTCCAGATCCATCATTGTTTGAGTCCACAGCGCTCTCTGGATGTAGGTGAACTACAACTCCAAAATTCAAGGTCAGTACCCACCAAACCCTTCCAGTATTTTCTTTTAGTAATGGGAGAACTGTGTGCCAAGTTTAGTTCAATTCCCTCGTTGGTAGTGCTCAGAATGATCTTTGATTTTAGGTGAACTATAAATCCCAACAACTACAACTCCCAAATGACAAAATTAACCCCTCCCCCAACCTCACCAGTATTCAAATTCGGACGTATTAGGCATTTCTGCCAAATTTGGTCCAGTGAATGGAAATACATCCTGCAGATCAGATATTTACAATATGATTCACAACAGTAGCAAAATTACAGTTATGAAGTAGCAACGAAAATAATGTTATGTTTGGGGGTGACCACGACATGAACTGTATTAAGGGATTACAGCATTAGGAAGGTTGAGAATCACTGCCATAGTCCATCAAATCATGGTCCTAAACACCTGTCCCACCTTCCTTTCCATTGATGATACAACAGAAAAAGTCCTTCTGGATTGATAGGAAGGAATGATGGGTAATCTTAACAGTAGCCAAACCAACGTACAGCTGCAGCTGCTGTGAAAGAAGTTAATGCCATGACCTCAGTGCAGCTGCTTGCATAATAGCCTTTCCTCAATCTGCCACTTTACTCCAGATGTGTTGGGAGTAAAATTCCCATCATCCCAAGCCAGTGGGCTCTTAGTAGCTAAAGGTAATGGAATTTGAAGTCTAAGACTTCCTGAATGGGATGAAATAACAGAAAAAGAATATTATATAGCAAAATATGTCAGCTAGTTTCAATGTAGAATTACTATTTCTAATCTTGCAGCCCAATACATCCGGATGAGGGTGGAATGGAGAAGATTGTTCTATAGCAGGCATGGGCAAACTTCGGCGCTCCAGGTGTTTTGGACTTCAACTCCTACAATTCCTGGCCTCAGGCTAATTCTTTTTCATAAGGGGTAAAAGGAAAAGGCTTTGCTCCATCAATATTTAACATTTACAGAAATGATCAGCCACTGCCAGAATGGACAGAGTTTCATCTATGCTGACGATCGTGCCATCACCACTCAAGCAGGGAGCTTTCAAATGGTTGAACAGAACCCCTCTGAAGCTTTAGGTGCTCTTACTGCCTATTATGGGGGGGGGGGGAGGAAAGGGCCATATGTTTTGGACTCCAACTCCCACAACTCCTAACAGCCTCAGGCCCCTTCCTTTTCCCCCTCAGCCGCTTAAGCGGCTGAGGGGGAAAAGGAAAGGGCCTGAGGCCAGGAATTGTGGGAGTTGAAGTCCAAAACACCTGGAGGACCAAAGTTTGCCTATGCCTGCTCTATAGTATAGTATGTCCACTAGTTTCAATGTAGGATTATTATTGTTTCCAATATCTGCTTTGCTGGTTCCATAGCTTTGCTGTTTTCAGTGCCTTGTTCATAGATCTGGCTGTTTGTACCTGTACTCACCTGTCATAAGCTGGGAGAAAGTCAGCCTAATCTTAGCAAGACTTAAGAACAAAGAAGCTGGAGTAAGCGGAAATACCCTTTACATCATTCTCTAGGCCACACCCATCTCTTATATGACATCACAATCTTAACCTTCTGACTTTTTCTCCTCCATGATCAAGATTATTCTCCCCCATCCCCCCCAAACTTTGATAGAATTTAAAGGGTGACTACTCCAAACCACTCAGGGCCCAAAAGAAGAATCTGGGAACTGCAGTGAATCAGGTTTATTGTATGCTTTTTTTTGTCTACGTCGAAAAGGCACACATTGTAGAGTGGGGTCCAGGCAAGAAGGAAATGCTTAACTTGGCCCCTTCTCATCGCTAAGGCACTTGAAGAAGGTCTGGCCGAAAAGCGTTCCCCTATCTTTGGTCTCTTATCAGGACTCTGAAGGTTTGGGGAGGATGCCCAGTAGCCCTCCTGCGGCCGTGAAGAGGTTGATAGGAGAGGATCCATCTGTGATGAGCGTAGACTGGATGCCCAGGCCCTGGAGCAGTTTCGCCTGCGGGAAAAGAAGAAGCTGACATGTCGTCTCTAGGGCCCCTTTGTTAATAATGCTAAAGTAAAGGTAAAGGTTTTCCCTGACATTAAGTCTAGTCTAGTCCTACTCTGGGAGTTGGTGCTCAATCTCCATTTCTAGGCCATACAGACAGTGTTGTCCATAGACACTTCCAAGGTCAAGTGGCCAGCATGACTGCATGGAGTGCCATTCTCTTCCTGCTGGAGCAGTACCTATTGATCTACTCACATTTGTATATTTTCGAACTGCTAGATTGGCAGAAGCTAGGGCTACCAGCAGGAGCTCACCCCACACTAGATTACAAGACTACTAATTCTCTATTGGAGCAGTGGGTTAAAGCACTGAGCTGCTGAATTTGTTGACCAAAAGGTCGCAGGTTCAAATCCGGGGAGCGGCATGAGCAGCCGCTGTTATTCCCAGCTTCTGCCAACCTAGCAGTTTGAAAACATGCAAAAGTGATTAGATCAATAGGTATTGCTCCAGTGGAAAGGTGTCTACGGACAACGCCAGCTCTTCGGCTTAGAAATGGAGATGAGCACAAACCCCCAGAGTCGGACACAAATGGACTTAATGTCAGGGGAAAATAAAAAAAAATCTCTATTGCTAAATCCAAGTTTGAGACCGCTCCTGCTTTGGGCTACAGGATTTTCGCAATTATAGTTCAAAACAGGAGCATCCTCAAGCTTGGTTGCTAATACAATTGTCCCTCCACATTTGTGGATTTGATTATGACTCTACAGTCAACTTCCTCTAGTCATGCTGGAGGATCTAGACATTCCTAGAAAGGTGTTCTCTCAGGTATAAACTATAGCAATGTCTTTATTCATGGTTTTTCATTTTCATGGGGGTCTTGTGTCCCTAACCCCAGGGCTAACTGGACCCTCAAACATCCCTCAGGTCCTTAGGAAGTCAATAAGTTGCTTTCTGGCAGCTCAAACAATTTGTCCATCTGGCTCAGCATTATCTCTTCTGGGTAAGAGGGGCTCTCCAGGGTCTCAAGCCACAATCATATTCAGTTCCAGCTATCTGATCCTTTCCTAAAAGAGATGTCAGGTGGGGGCTGAATTTGGGAAGTTCTGGGTGCAGAGCATACACTTTGCCAGATAAAATGACAGCCCTGTTGGATCCCGCTCTTATTTTCTAGGTCACTCTGATTGTGTTTCTCACCTGCATCTCAGGCCCGGCCACCGCAATGTCCCGGATCGTGTTGGCTCCCAGTGACTTGATCACGGCCTCAAATTTCTTCACTTCGACAGTAGCCAAAGCCTCAGCCCGGGCAACGTCCAAGTCGGCCTGAGCCTTGGAGAAGCGCAACTCCTGTTCCCGTGCCTGTGCCAGGCGCTGCAGCTCAGATTCCTGCAAAGGATTGTGTTAGCATAGTTATGGGAGGAAGGGGACTAGCATGGAGGGGAAAGTCCACTTTTTGGGGCAACACTGTACTTAGATCTAAAGGTCTGGGGATAGAAGGAAAACACTCATTGCATTGTCGAAGCCGTCCACGGACGGAATCACTGGGTTGCTGTGAATTTTCTGGGCTGTATGGCCATTTTCCAGAAGCATTCTATCCTGACATTTTGCCCACATCTATAGCAGGCATCCTCAGAGGTTCTATCTATCTAATCTATCTAATCTTATCTATCTATCTATCTATCTATCTATCTATCTATCTATCTATCTATCTATCCATCCATCCATCCATCCATCCATCCATCCATCCATCCATCTATCCATTCCTCCCTCTATCTATCTATCTATCTATCTGGACTGTCCAGGGTGGGAGAGCCCTTGTCTGTGGGAGGCAAGTGTGAATGTTGCAATTGGCCACCTTGATGATGAGCATTAAATGGCCTTGCAGTTTCACAACCTGGCTGCTTCCTGCCTGGGGGAACCATTGACTGCATAGGGAAGCTGATGATGAAACACAACCTACAAACTTTCTACTATCTTTAGACCCACTAAAAAAAATCCCACAAATGCTATGTTCAGCAAAGGACAAGAGGGATCCTCTCACCTTTGCATAACATGTGGACCACCATACACAGAACCCAAACATGAATCAGGGAACGTGAAAGTCACTGCGGATTAATTCAACCTGAGATGTCAGCCATAGTAGAGTACTGATGAACCAACCTAGACACAGCATGTTATCTGAGAACACAGAAATGCAGGGCCACTCTAACAACTACCATGTCTGACTACACAGAAAAGCCACTGAAATCCACAAGCAGATGGACAATTTCAACTGAAAGGAGGAAACAATGAAAACGAACAAAATCTGCCTACCAGTATTTAAAAAACCTCTAGAATCAGGACAGCACTCAGTAACGGGAATGCCAGACAAGAAACAATCAGGGCCAGCTAACACCTCCCAACAATGGACCCCCCAGACAGAAAGCAGTCAGTCTTTGAAGCTACAAGGCCATTAAATGATAATCAAGATGGCCAATTGCAACATTCACACTTGCTTCAAGCAGAAAAGAGTTTTTTCTCCTACCCTGGACATTCCACAGATATATAAACCTCACTTGCCAAGTTTCCAACAGACCTCACAACCTCTGAGGATGCCTGCCATAGATGTGGGTGAAACGTCAGGAGAGAATGCTTCTGGAACATGGCCATATGGCCCAGAAAACTCACAGCTGCCCAAAACACTCACTGCTGCTGTTCCTCCAAATAACATTGCAATGATTCCTGGGAACATTCTGTTATGATTTGCATACTTTCAGCTCTGGAGGTACCTATCAGTTCTCTACCTTTTCCACTCTACGTCCCACTGCAAGACACTTCCCGTATAAGAATCTGGATCCGGCCTGCCATCTCTAACATTTAAACTACCTCTTAGCAGAGCTTGGAAAGGTTACAATTTTAAATGGCAGCTCCCCAAATCTCCCAGTCCACAAGACCATTGGGACTCTGGGATCTCTCCTCTCACAACATCAGGCATGTTTCCCATTCTCTGTCTCTTAGCATGGCTGGATTTCTTTAACCACTGGACTTTTAAAACTCTTAAGCTCTTTCCAATCACAAGTTACTTGCATAGGATCCATTAAGATTTTAATTAATACAACATTACATTCAAACTGCAATAATTCTCCATTACTACAAATGCCCTGGGGCTACAAAAGCCTGCTGCAAAGAGTGGTGTTTATAAAAAAGGACGGCTATTAACAATTAAAGCTCAAAATTCCCAGAATCCCACAGTGGCCATGCTCACAAGGTAATTCTGGAAGCTAGAGTCCAAGAAAGTAATGTTTCCAAGCAATTGAGAATTAAGGAGAGAAAACATGGCCTGTTCATAGCTAGGGAATGGAGGGAGAGGAGTACCAGATTCCTTTTTGTGTGTGTGTCAGGAGTGACTTGAGAAATTGAAGTCGCTTCTGGTGTGAGAGAATTGGCCGTCTGCAAGGATGTTGCCCAGGGGATGCCCAAATGTTTTGATTTTTTACCCTCCTTGTGGGAGGCTTTTCTCATGTCCCCGCATGGGGAGCTGGAGCTGACAGAGGGAGCTCATCCGTGCTCTCCCTTGATTTGAAACTCCGACCTGTAGGTTTTCAGTCCTGCCAGCACAAGGATTTAACCCATTGTGCCACCAGGGGCTCACCACATACCTGAGATGGGTATTTATGTTTTGCCAGTGCAGAAGTGAAAGCCTTGGACAATGCAATACAGAAATGGCAATTAGGAGTTTTGGTGTCAAGAGGAAGCCAGACTCGAGGAGGTTCATGGAAAGAATGGCAGGACTCACAGTCTCTATGGCCGTCGCCTCTGCCTTCAGCTTGGCCTGCAGGACGGCGCCTTCGCCTTCAATCCGCGCTGCTTCTGCTCGTGATTGGGCCTCGGCTTTAGCAGATCCGGTGCTCTCCACTGCCGTGCTGAGGAAAAAGAGGAGCACGGGACAATTGAACCATTGCAAAATTGTTTGCCATTGAGTAGGCAATGCACAACCGTGCCTGCAGTTGTGGCTTGGGCCCCTGTGCCACCACCTCACCTGAGTGCTTCCAGTTCCAGCAGCTCCTTCCTGGCCCGCTCAGCCTCAGCCTGGTCCAGGATTTTCTGCCGCTCAAGGCGTCCTCGGGCCTCCTGTTCCAACCTCTCTGCCTCGTGCCTGAGATGAGGTGAAGAGCAGGGAGGCGGTGGAATCAAGGAGGGAAAAACCAAGGTCAGAACAAGGAAGACAAGCAAAAGTGGAGACCCAGCCTTTCCAGGGGTTTGTGAAAAAGCATTCCTCAGGGAGAAGGGCAAAACCAAGGAGACAAAAGATGGCAAGCAATTCTTGCTTGAAAAGGACAAGGGAGGAGAATGACTCCAAGGTGCTTTGGACATTTTGAAAGCCATAGATGTGCACTCTTTAAGAGAGGAGCATGCAGAAGGTCTTTAACGGGAGTTGTGGAGGAAATGCATTTGATAAAGTCTCTGGCTCCAAGCATATAATCCACATTCTTGAGAGCCGCTGTGGCACAATGGGTTAAACCCTTGTGGCTGCTGAACTGCTGATGTGAAAGTTGGGTTGCTGACCTAAAGGTTACCAGTTCAAATCCACAAGATGGGGTGAGCTTGTCAGCTCTAGCTTGCAGGGACATGAGAGAAACCGCTTAGCTAACACATCTGAGGGTCCCCCAGGCAACGTTTCTGTAGACGGTCAATCTCTCACACCAGAAGCGACTTGCAGTATATTCTCAATAACAAAAATCCACATTATCTGCTTTAAACAGGTTTATATTAGTCTACACTGCCATATACTCCAGATCAAAGCAGATAATCTGGATTTTATATGGCAGTGTGTAGAAAGAGCCTCTGTCATGTCTGGGGAAACTTCAGAAGCTGCAGAGATAGATAAATCAGATTTCCAAGTCTTCATTAGTGATCTAGGATTGTCTGCACGCGCATCCCTCTCCGAAAACTCTATCCTAGTCATATCTCACCTGTTCATGCTCAGCATTATTTTTAAATGTTTAATTATTACATTTGTTACAGTAATAGTTATTGTGTTACTGTTAATGTTTATTGTTTATCTTCAGTTATGAGTTTTTATTGTTTTGTATTACTGTTGTTATTGCTTTTATTACTGATGTATTGTGGGCTCGGCCTCATGTAAGCTGCACCGAGTCCCTTGGGGAGATGGTAGCGGGGTAAAAATAAAGTATTATTATTATTATTATTATTATTATTATTATTCATTTTAGCCCTTGTTAACTCCTTATTTCACAACTTGTTAACTCCTTATTTCCAAACTGTATGTCACGACACATTAGTGTGCCAGCTGCTGTGTGCAGGTGCGTCATGTAGATATACTCAGAAATGACAAAAATCTTAGAAATATATGTTGCTATCTTTTAAAAAATACATAAATGATAGCTTTTCATGATATATGTTGCATCTCCAAATATTTCATTATTACAAATTATGTATGTGACTATTTATCTTATCAGGGATTGATTCAACTTCTTGTTTGCTTAGTTAGTAAAACTGAATTACTGTGATGCAAAATGACACATGCCTAAAAATGTGTCACCAACAGGAAATGTTTGCAAAGCTCTGCCTAATCTCAATCCATGGTTAGCAAAAAGGAGATCAAAGAGCATGGGACTTTTTGTACCATTTTGTGATTGATAGAAAAAGACACTCCCAATATGGCATGTTTATCACCAGTCAGCATTTCCCATGCCGTGTACCCTCTCAAGTCCATCTACAGCTCCTTCTGCTCCGTCTCCCTGAAGGAAGTAACCTGGACTTTGCTGCCAGGAGATTCTGCAGATCAAATGAAGAGCCAGCAAATTTGTCACCACAGAGCCTGACTCCATCCGCAGCTCTGTCTGCACTCTGCTTTGGAGGGAAAAGCCTGGAATCTAAACTGCAGCATAATTCGGAAAAGTTGCTTTTTTCTGTACTCCAGGTCCCAAAATCCCTCAACCAGCATGGCTACAATAATACCATTGACCATACTGGCTCGGGGATTCTGGGACTCGTAGTCTAAAGAAGTAACTCTTCTTTGCTCTGTTGTAAGAGGCAGCAACTTACCCTAATCTCTTCTTTTATTGTCCTTCAGGGTGAATGTTTAAAATTGGAATTACTAGCCATTCTTCCATCTTGGGTGTTTCTAATTTTCATGTCCGCACATACAAAATTCTAGCTGCAGTTATCAGAATGAAAAGTCTGGCATGTCTTCAAAAGTGATCTGTCTGTTATGCCTAACATGAACGCATCTGGATGTATGGGTATTTCAAGTTTTAATACTATTTCTATAGTTTTATGGATCTCAATCCATTTTTGTTGCCTTATTCCAGGACCACACCTATGAAAAAATGATCCTTTTGATATTGATAGTGTATTTATATAAATTCAAACAGTTCTTTCAGTGTGGATGTTAAATCATACGATGCTTTGAAACGACAGTTGGCTGAGAAAGTGGTGTAGAAATCCTAGATAATAAGCAGCTCCATTTCTGTGGGCTGGAAGGTCTGCTTGTCTTTGGCACTGCTTTTGGCTCCTTCAGCAAGTGCAAGCTCAGCACTAGGGATTCGTCATGTCAAGGACTCAGCATTTCTCAAGGCTCCTCCAGGATGAGGCCAAGTCTCGATATTAGGAAAGTTACTTTTTTTGGACTCTGGGCCCCAGAATCTCCTGGCCAGTATAATGATTGAAAGAAGTACCATCCAAACTGCCCCCTAACTTTCCCAAACTCAAGTAAAGCTTTACAAAGAAACTTATTTTTTTAGGACTTTTAGATGAATAAGAGCAGTTTCTGGGTGGAGCAGAGACTCAGTTCTTCATACAAAGAAGTGTCACTTTTTCAGGCAACACCAAAGGGCTGGACAGAAGGTTTTGCACCAAATACTCCTTTTTGCCATTAGTGTTAACCCGGTTTTATATTGTGGCTCACTTCAGACTCTAACATGGATGTACTGACTCCTTTTTTAAAAAGTGTCTTAATTCTGGGTAGTTCTGAGTTTTCCGGGCTGTATGTTCCAGAAGCATTCTCTCCTGACGTTTCACCCACATCTATGGCAGGCATCCTCAGGGGTTGTGAGGTCTGTTGGAAACTAGGCAAGTGAGGTTTATATATCTGTAGAATAATATCCAGGGTGAGAGAAAGAACTCTTGTTTATTTGAGGTAGGTGTGAATGGAGGTAGGGATTCCCCCAGCCAGTAAGAAGCCAAACCTTGAAACTGCTAGGCCATTAAATGCTAATCAAGGTGGCCAATTGCAACATTCCAGGGTGGGAGAAACAACTGCCTCAAACAGTTGAATGTTGCAACTCACCACCTTGATTAGCATATAATGGCCTAACAGTTTCAAGATCTGGCTTCTTACTGCCTGGGGGAATCACTACCTCCATTCACACAGACAAGAGTTCTTTCTTCCAACCTGGACATTCCACAAATATATAAAAACAATTTTCCTAGTTTCCCACAAACCTCACAACCTCTGAGGATGCTTGCCATAGATGCAGGTGAAATGTCAGGAGAGAATGCTTCTGGAACATGGTCATACAGCTTAGAAACAACAACCCAGTGATTCTGGCCATCAAAGCCTTCAACAATACACTGTCTTATTTCTCATTGTAAGTCTTATTCTCATTGGTTATAGGACAAAGCAGATATTTTATAATGTGTGTGTTTCTGAGAGAGGAGTAGGAGAGAGGGAGAGAGGAGGAGGAGGCACAATCTGGGAAACAAATATATGAAATCCAGCTGTAAGTTTGGCTGGTCCATGCCATGAACCTGTCCATCACATCCCTCCCAAACTATTCCATACCGGGCCGCTGCCTCCTGGGAGTTGGTGGTGATCTCAATGGCGAGCTGCACACTGCGCTGGAGGGAATCTCGGGTCCTCTGATCCACGGGCTCCACACTCTGGATATCGATGCTGCTGATGACAAGGCCGTTGGGGGCAAAGCGCAAGGAGGTGCGCAGCGTCCCTTCCCCATCGAAGCCAAACACGGCGGCGCAGATCAGGCGGTTTGAGTTCTGGGGACATTAATTGCGGTAAAAGAATAGCACGGATTCCGTTTCCCCTAAGCAAGCACAATCACACAGTCAAATACACCCTGAAGCCAAAAACAGTTTTAATGCCAGCTAGTGCATTAGTCGCCGACGCCAGGAGAGAGCACTGCCAACCAATTTCCCCTTCAAGCATTAAACAGCGTGGAGGGAGCCAGTGCAATGCAGGGGTGAGATCAGGACTGGAGGGAACCAGGTTCAAATCTCCACTCAGCCATTAAATTTGCTGGCTGATCTCATGCCAACCATTCCTGCCTAACCTACCTCAAAGGGTGGTTGTTAGATAAAATGCCTATATATGTTTTTAGAAATAAAATATTGTAATGTTCCAAAGGTTAGTTATCTTATAATCCTATCTACAGGCAAAAAGGAAGAGACTGCTCTTTTATTTGTTGTCAGAACAAGAATGTTACTAATAATATTACAATATAATTGTATAGTACAATATAGTTTTATTTTATTGTTTGTATTACTGTTGTTATTGTTTTTATTACTGATGTATTGTGGGCTCAGCCTCATGTAAGCCGCACCGAATCCCTTGGGGAGATGGTAGCGGGGTATAAATAAAGTTTTATTATTATTATATAGTGATGTATAGCGCTGATATTGTACTGTGCTCATTATTTACAGCATTTATATTCCGCCCTTCTCACCCCGCAGGGGACTCAGGGCGGATTACAGTGTACACATATATGGCAAACATCCAATGCCAATTTTGACTTACAACATATACAGACATACACAGAGGCTATTTAACTTTTTCTGGCCGCCAGGAGAGCTGTCACTTTCATCGTCCATCTGCGACACTGATGAAGTACTTCTGCATTCCCGGCATGCTTTTTTGCTGGAGTGCTTTGCTGGAGTCTTTTTTATGGCCTCATAAGTTAGTTAATTTAGCCTCCCCACACTTTAAGGTGGTACCTAATTTTCCTACTTGACAGATGCAACTGTCTTTCGGGTTGTAAAGGTCGACAACAGGCTACACAATTGGTTGGAAACCCACTCCAACCCGGGCTGGCTTCGAACTCATGACCTTTTGGTCAGAGTGATCTTAATGCAGCTGACACTCAGCCAGCTGGGCCACAATCCTGATGCTCATGGTATAATGTATTGTATGCATCTATCTATCTATCTATCTATCTATCTATCTATCTATCTATCTATCTTGTAAGCTGCTCTGAGTCCCCTTTGGGGTGAGAAGGACGGCATATAAATAATGCAAATAAATAAATAAATGTTCAATGTATTGTGGAAGGCTTTCATGGCTGGAATCACTAGGTTCTTGTGGGTTTTTTTGGGCTATATGGTCATGTTCTAGAGGCATTTTCTCCTGACGTTTCGCCTGCATCTATGGCAAGCATCCTCTGAGGATGCTTGCCATAGATGCAGGTGAAACATCAGGAGAAAATGCCTCTAGAACATGGCCATATAGCCCGAAAAAAACCACAAGAACCTAAATAAATGTTTTTGTTTATTTGTTCATTCGCTTCCGACTCTTTGTGACCAGCCCACGCCAAAGCTCTGTCACCACCCCCACCTCCTTCAAGGTCAAGCCAATCACTTCAAGGATAGTAGTAGTAGTAGTCATCATCATCATCATCTTTATTTATACCCCACCACCATCTCCCCAAAGGGGACTCAGGCGGCTAATATGAGGCCAAGCCCAAAGATAAAATACAACAAAATAATATACAGAATGCAGACAACAACAAAAATTACATCAAAATAAAATATGTACAGTAGCAAAATGAATAAAACAAATTAACATAATATAAAATCGAGCAGAATGGGCACGCCAAATGGACGAGGTAAAATGGTAAAACCCTGGATGAGGTAGGAAAGAAAATATGTAATGGAGGGGAACCTAAAAGAAAGAAAGGATAACCTGCCCTTGGTCAGCCCCTCTTCCCTTTTCCTTCCATTTTCCCCAGCATCATTGTCTTCTCTAAGCATTCCTGTCTTCTTATTATGAGGCCAAAGTACTTCATCTTTGCCTCTAATATCCTTCCCTCCAGTGAGAAGTCGGGCTTTATTTCCTGGAGGATGGACTGGTTTGATCTTCTCGCAATCCAAGGCATTCTCACAATTTTCCTCCAACACCAGTTAAAAAGTGCCTCTCTTCCTTCGCTCAGCCTTCCTTATGGTCCAGCTCTCACATCCATAGTTTACTACGGGGAATACTATTGCTTTAACTATGCAGATTTTCGTTGCCAGTGTGATGCCTCTACTCTTCACTATCTTATCGAGATTGGTCACTGCTCTCCTCCCAAGAAATAAACGTCTTCTGATTTCCTGGCTGCGGTCTGCGTCTGCAGTAACAGCTCTCTCCAAACCTGAAGTATCTGCCTCTGGTGGCCTTCCCCAACATGGCTCCCTCCAAATATGTCAGATTAAAATCACTCCATCATCCCCAAATAGCCGGTGCATTGCTTGCTGGGAGTAATTGGAGCTATAGTTCAATATATCTCTGACCTGGAAGGGGACTACACAGTTTGGAAGAGGAACCATTTAACTACAACTCCCATAACTCTGCAGATCGACTGGTTGGAGGTGTTTGGAGGATCGTAGTCCAATAAGAACCCCCCCCCCCCCAAAATAAAGTGTAACTAGTCAAGGCAGCGGGTTAAACCACTGAGCTACTGAACTTGCAGACCGAAATGTTGGCAGTTTGAATCTGGGGAGTGGAGTGAGCTCCCACTGTTAGCCCCAGCTTCTGCCAACCTAGCAGTTCAAAAACAAAGAAACATAAACCCAAGGAAGAAAAAGATCAGCAAAAGAGAGACACACAGAGAGAGAGGAACGTGTGCCTTGTTGTGATCTCTGAGTTACAGAGATTTACAGGGGACAGGGAGGCAAGGGATTGAATGAGGAATCCACAACTCACCTTATGGAAGTCATCAAATGTGACAGCAGCTACTGCTCCCCTGATGCGCGAAGCCAATGTCTTGCAGGCATCACCCACAAAATCTGGGACGCAAAACAGGCGGGATGCTTCGGCCGCAGCAGGTATCTCAAAGTGCCTGTTGGGGAAACAGTCTTCACGGTCATAATAAAGTACATGACAGCAGTGTTGAGTTCAGGCATGGGCAAACTTGGGCCCTCCAGGTGTTTTGGACTTCAACTCCCACAATTCCTAACAGCCTCAGGCCCTTTCCTTTTAAGCTGAGGGGGGAAAGGAAGGGGCCTGAGGCTGTTAGTAATTGTGGGAGTTGAAGTCCAAAACACCTGGAGGGCCAAAGTTTGCCCAGGCCTGATCTGCATTATACACTATGCCCCACACCACTGGAGAAATTGCATTGTTTGGCCAGTACTGCACCACCTGACATCTCCTTGGAAGTAGCAGTCAATAGTGAAAGAATCAAGGCAGTGACATCTCCAGCCCATCCCCTGTTCACACATACCCTGTCTACACTCTCATTATAGATTCCATGTTGGAGGGTCTTCAATGCATGTAGCCCCCGACTCACCAGTTGTAGGCCAGCTGGAGCTGCAGGCGGGCGTGATCAGCCGTTTCAATGGTGATAATGTCAGTGCAGAAGTCAGGTCCCAGGAGGAGGCAGAGGGCACGGCGGGCATGAGGGCGTTTGGGTCGGCCCCCCGACAGGCTCAGCACTGTGAACTGCTCATCGGGCCCCAAAAGCACCAGCTCTGGTCCAAAAACCACCCTGAGAGGAAGAGAAAGAATTAAAATTATTGCATGAGGAGGTGTAGTATCGGCCTCTTAATAGTCTTTCCTTAAGCCCAAGACCTTTTTAAAACAATCACACCAACCCTAAACGAATGTGAATTCAATAATCCAATGCAAGTTATGTAAGTGTTGATTTACCATATCCCCATTGATTCAATGGGTCACCACCAGCTGGGATGAACTGTTAAGATCCTATCTAACCAATCTGTAATAGCATAACACTTTATTGGCCCACTTCATCAGATGCATAAAGGTACTGAAACACTGCAATTAAACATGATAGAATGTCACTATAGACCAGGCGTGGGCAAACTTAGGCCCTCCAGGTGTTTTGGACTTCAACACCCACAATTCCTAACAGCCTCAGGCCTCTTACTTTTCCCCCTCAGCCGCTTAAGCTGAGAACAACACTAAAAAAAACAGGGAAATTCCAGACAGGAAGCAATCAAGGCCAGCTAATACCTCCTAACAAAGGATTCCCCCAGGCAGGAAGCAGCCAGGCTTTGAAGTGGCAAGGGTATTCAGTACTAATCATAGTAGCCAATTGCAACATTTACACTTGCCTCCAAGAGACAAGAGTTCTTCCTCCCACATGGGACATTCCAGAGATATAAAAACCCCACTTGCCTAGTCTCCCAATACACCTCACCATCTCTGAGGATGCCTGCCATAGATGTGGGTGAAACGTCAGGAGAGAATGCTTCTGGAACATGGCCATACAGTCCAGAAAACTCACAGCAACCAAGTTATTCCGGCCATGAAAGCCTTCAACAACATATGTGATGATAAATTATGTTGGAATAACACAATGTGGAGATGATAACCAGAGTTCAGAGCTTAGCAAAGGAAACGGAGGATGCAACAGCTCTGAATCCAATGACATGCGAACTGGAAGATTCTGGAAGGTGACTATGTATTCTGCCATAAGGTTCTTGGAAAAAAACTTTTTGGGTATGGCACAGGACAGTAAACTACGAGTAGGGGAAATGAGCAAGCATGAGAATAAGAGAGGAAAATAAAGATCGCTTAAGGGAAATACTCTTAGTCATACAGTCCATTTTTGGTGCCAAGTCTCATTCTTGGAATAGGAAACTATCTTTTCTTCATCATGCAGAATAAGCACAATGTCAGCTCCCTGGCTTCAGGCTCAGAGAGAGAGAAGCATTGGCCAGTTGAGTTTGGCACTGCTACTGCGACAACAGCGAGTGAGGAAGACAAACCGAGCAAGGATCCTCATAGGAGGGTTTGTGCAAGACGGCACAGAATCCCTGGGGTTTTGTGTCATTCACTGGAAGAGTTAACTATTTTCTCTCAAGGAAGGCACCAGGACATTTGTAATGTTTCAGGCAAAGATTGGGAAAATTACTTTTTGAACTACTGCACCTTCAATCTTGAACAGGCATGGGCAAACTTTGGCCCTCCAGGTATTTTGGACTTCAACTCCCACAATTCCTAACAGTCAGAAACTGCAAGTCCCTTCTGGTGTTAAAGAATTGGCCATCTGCAAAGACATTGCCTAGGGGACACCCTGAGGCATCTCTCATGTCCCCACATGAGAAGCTGGAGCTGACAGATGGGAGCTCACCCCGCTCCCTGGATTCAAACCGCTGACTTTTCGGTCAGCAGTCCTGCCAGCACAAGAGTTTGACCCATTGCACCACTGCGGGCTCCATGTCTCACCTCGTTCTTAACTAACAGTTATTTGCAAGATGGATGTTTGTAAATGGATGGATGCCTGTATATTTAAACATAGTTATTTAGTTATGGAATAGAACGTAGGAGAACCTTGCTTTGAACTACAGAGCTCTGGTACAACTCCATTACTTCGATCGGCCTCACCTTCAAAATCCTCTGCCTTTTCTTCCGTAACATATAGATCTTGACCATTCTGGACTGTGAAATACTCTTAATAATAATAATAATAATAAAACTTTATTTGTACCCCGCTACCATCTTCCCAAGGGACTCGGTGCGGCTTACATGAGGCCAAGCCCACAGCACATCAATAAACAAAAGCGATAACAAATAATCAAAACAGTTAAAATAAAAACTCAAAAACAAAAATACACAACAAGCAATAAACAATAATATCTGTTGTTTCAAAGCAGTCATGAATGCATACACCACACACTCTGCTTCTCTCACCTGGATTTACGTTCTTTGTAGTCATACACCTGCACAGCTGCGTTGTGGGGGACTCGGTAGGACACGGCCCGTGTCCTGTCGCGGTAAACTGGACTGCTTCCATCAGATGGGTCCCGGGAACGATCCACTACTGGATTCCTTTCTGAGGTCAACAAGGCCTCCACATGGGAAGGCAGGTCCTTCTCCCATAGCTCTTCATCCTGGGAAAGCATGTAAGTGTGGCCGATAACAGCGCGGACCTATGGGAAAAGACGAGACGGTGGGGATAAGTGGGGCAAGTGTCCAACATTAAGCTCCAGTACTAGTAAAATGGAAAACACATAATAATATCCTTGCTTGAGATTTGCCAAAATAACCTCAATGATGCCATATATTTACTCTACATAGCCTAAGAACTGTTCCAGGTATAATATAAATTCATTTTATAATACTGAAGCTAGAGATTGGGCAAGCTACTCCCTTTTTTGACTACAGCTCCCAGAATCCCCAAGCACAGAGTTTCTCAACCTGGGGGTCAAGACCTCGGGGGGGGGGGTCATGAGGGGGTTTCAGGGGCCACCAAAGACCATCAGAAAAACACAGTATTTTCTGTTGGTCATGGGGGTTCTTTCTGGGAAGTTTGGTGGGGTTCAGAATTCTCTTTGATTGTAGGTGAACTATAAATCACAGCAACTACAACTCCCAAATGTCAAGGTCTATTTTCCGCAAACTCCACAAGTGTTCACATTTGGCCATATTGAGTATACGTGCCAAGTTTGGTCCAGATCCAACATTGTTTGAGTCCACAGTGCTCTCTGGATGTAGGTGAACTACAACTCCAAAACTCAAGGTCAATGACCACCAATCCCTTCCAGTATTTTCTCTTGGTCATGGGAATTCTGTGTGCCAAGACTGGTTCAATTCCATCGTTGGTGAAGTTCAGAATGCTCTTTGATTGTAGATGAACTATAAATCCCAGAAACTACAACTCCCAAATACAAAACCAATCTCCCACCAACCTCACCAGTATTCAAATTTGGGCATATCAGGTATTTGTACCAAATTTGGTCCAGTGAATGTAAATACATCCTGCACATCAAATATTTACATTACAATTCACAACAGTAACAAAATTACAGTTATGAAGTAGCAACAAAAATAATGTTATGGTTGGGGTCACCACAACATGAGGAACTGTATTAAGGGGTCGCGGCATTAGAAAGGTTGAGAACAACTGCCCCAGCCAGTATTGTCATGTTGGCTGGAGAATTCTGGGAACTGCAGTCCAAAAAAGGAACTTTCCTAAGGCTTGACTGAACTTAATTCTGGAAGAGTTAATTGCTTTCACGTTAGTGCAAATCCTTTCAACTTGACTGCCTAGTAACCACAAAGAAGTAGCACATCTTTTCCGCAATTGAGGGTCAGTCAAACTACAATGGAGACTCCACWCATCATTTAAAACAGCACTACATTATTTGGTGATAACCTTCCACACAGWCAACMCCCCCCCCCCCCCCCTTAGCATAATTAAGTTACTAATAAACCTCACTCAGTGTTATTTTGAACCTTCCTGCTTTCAAGTTCTGGCTCAGATCCTAGAAACATAAACTAAATCTTATTCAGCAAAACAAGAAGGTCCTGCGGCACCCCAGAGACTAATAAAATGATCATAACATGGCCTTTGTGTGGACGACAGCCCATTTCCTCAAAGGCATGGCATTTTACATACATGCAGGATAGTTGTGCCATTAACACTTATGTGAAAGACGGTTTAATAATCCAGTTGTCACTGCCAGTACATCCTTGCATTTCATTTCCCCTGGCACTTAGCTTTCTACAAGTGGATTTGAAATTTTGCCAAGTATGCCATAGATCTGGCGAAATGGGCAGGAATTAATGAAACACATGCTATATTAAGTGCCTGAGGTTTTAGGACAGTGGTTCTCAACCTGTGGGTCCCCAGATGCTTTGGCTTTCAACACCCAGAAAACTGGGTGGGATTTCTGGGAGATGTAGGCCAAAACACCTGGGGACCCACAGGTTGAGAACCACTGTTTTAGGATCTCAAAGAGCTCCTTGTTATTTTTGGTACACCATATTAACATGGAAATACCTCCCCTACAGATACAAGGAGAGATGGGTAATAAATAAATTATTATTATTATTATTATTATTATTATTATTATTATTATTGTGTTGTCGAAGGCTTTCATGGCCAGAATCCCTGGGTTGCTGTGAGTTTTTTGGGCTGTATGGTCATGTTCCAGAAGCATTCTCTCCTGACATTTCACCCATATCTATAGCAGGCATCCACCGGGATTGTGGCGCAGCTGGCTGAGTGTCAGCTGCATTAAGATCACTCTGACCAAAAGGTCATGAGTTCGAAGCCAGCCCGGGTTGGAGTGGGTTTCCAACCAATTGTGTGTAGCCTGTTGTCGACCTTTGCAACCCGAAAGACAGTTGCATCTGTCAAGTAGGAAAATAAGGTACCACCTTAAAGTGTTGGGAGGCTAGATTAACTGATTTATGAGGCCATAAAGAAGACTCCAGCAAAGCATTCCAGCGGGGAAGCATGCGGGGAATGCGGAAGTGCTTCATCAGCGTCGCAGATGGACGATGAAAGCGACAGCTCCCCTGGCGGCCAGAAAAAAGTTAAATAGCCTCTGTGTATGTCTGTATATGTTTGTATGTCAAAACTTGGCATTGAATGTTTGCCATATATGTGTACACTGTAATCCGCCCTGAGTCCCCTGCGGGGTGAGAAGGGCGGAATATAAAAGCTGTAAATAAATAAATAAATAAAATAAATAAATTGTGAGGTCTGTTGGAAACTAGGCAAGTGAGGTTTATATATCTGTGGAATGTCCAGGGTGGAAGAAACAACCCCTGTCTGCTTGAGGCAAATGTGAATGTTGCAATTGGCCACTTTGGTTAGCACTGAATGGCCTTGCAGCTTCAAAGTCTAACCGCTTCTTGCCTGGGGCAAAACATCAGGAGAGAATGCTTCTGGAACATGGTCATACAGCCCAGAAAACTCACAGCAAACCTATTATTATTATTATTTCCTTTATTATTTTCCCTATACTACACTATCATTGCTTTTGTCCTTGCAGTTGGATTGATATGGGAGGAGTGTCAGCATTAAATGAAGGAGAGCCCAAGGTCTCAAGTGTGAATGGAGTCCTCATTTTAATACTCCCAAAGGGACAAAACCAAAGAACCTAAGCAGAGAACATAGGATATCCTTCACACCCATCACTAACTGTGTATTTCTTAAACAAAGCTACTCCAAGAGCTTAGGTTGAAGAGCGGTTAATAAATAATGGATACCAACTCTGGCAGAGAGGAGCAATACTTTTGTCGGCAGTGACCTCTGAAGGTGTGCATCCCAATGGCGCTGCTAATGAGCCCGTCTAGTCTGCGCTGGAGAGGAGCCAAGTGCTACTCCGCTTGCTTTGCTCACCTTCCCAGTCTTGATATCCCGCACATAGATGCCCTCGTTCTCCGCTAAAGGGATGGAGTGGCGCTGCTCCATGACTTCCACCTCCGCTGGCGGCACGTACTCCAAAGGGCCCCGGATCAACCAACGGTCGCCTGGCTTGCGGAGCACCTTCTTGTCATCCTAGACGAACACAAGACAGAGACAGAGAGGTGAATGAGTTCCTGTCGCTGCTTCAATTGAGTGTTCCTGCATGGCAGGGAGTTAGACTGGATGGCCCTTGTGGTCTCTTCCAACCCTACGATTCTATACATCATAGAACCCGCCCTCCTCTCGCTGCTCCAGAGTTTGGAAAATTAGCCATCATTTACATCAGGGGTCCCCAAACTCAAGCCCAAGGGCTGGATATGGCCCTCCAAAGTCATTTACCCGACCCTCGCTCAGGGTCAACCTAAGTCTGAAACGACTTGAAAGCACACAACATCAGCCAAAAGCAGGCCCACACTTCCCATTGAAATACTAATAAGTTTATATTTGCTAAAATTGTTCTCTGTTTTAATTATTGTATTGTTTTTAAGTGTTTTTGCACTACAAATAAGATATGTGCAGTGTGCACAGGAATTCATGTTTTTCTCAAATTATAAGCCAGCCCTCCAACAGTTTGAGGGACTGTGACCTGGCCCTCTGTTTAAAAAGTTTGATGACCCCTGATTTACAATGATGACTAATTAGTCATAATTTACATTTATTCCCCATGAAAGTGGAAAGTGCTCTTTTAAATAGAATTATCTAGGAATGTCTTGGTCCTCCAGTGCGACTCTATTGTCAAACTCCATCAGAGGTTGTTTATATAATTGTTCTGGAAGACCTAGAGCAGGCAGCCTCAAACTGTGGTCCCCTTCGCTGTTTGTGTTGGAAAAAGCAACCTTCTTCAAGCCTCCACTAGTTATGTGTTATGTATATAATTCAGATTGGTTACTGTATTGTATATGTGTGCATTGGTATGCAGTTTTCCTTAACTCTCTGTTGTGAGAGGGGCTGCAGACCATGTGATCAACTGGGACTAGTCAGGACTTAGACTCCATTTTAGAAAGGCAGAAGCTATTAGACTTTCACTGTAGAAACAGTACAGCTTAGACTCCATTGGACTTTCAGACTAGACAAAGACTATTAGACTGTCAGAACAGAGAGATACTTTGGGCCGTTGATTATAAGAAAGATGCCCTGTGTTATCTGCACAAACTACTTCAAATTCTACCTGTAACTGGATTAATATGCAAAGCTCCTGTATGCTGAATACATGAAGTTTGTGAGTAAACGTATAAGTTTGTGAGTAAAACTGTTATTTTTGACTTTTGAGAGCATGATTTAAACCAAGATGTTTTAAGGGAGAGTAGATGTTTTTGGGCAACTGAAAGAACACTTCTGAAACTCTGCTATCTATCTATCTATCTATCTATCTATCTATCTATCTATCTATCTATCTATCGTCTATCTATCTATGGTAGAGTCTCACTTATCCAACCTTCGCTCATCCAACATTTTGTATTATCCAACACAGTCTGCCTCCTGTCTGGATCCACAGCAGTTTTAATACATTACAATGGTTTGGTGCTAAATTTGTAAATACAGTAATTACTACATAACGTTAATAACACTTTATGATAACACTTTATTTATATTACGCCCTTCTCACTCCAAAGAGGACTCAGGGCGGATCACAGTACACATACATGGCAAGCATTCAATGCCACTTTGTATAGGCAATACACAGACAGAGGGAACAGAAGGAGGTGCCATGGAAGGTTGGGCTGGACTCCAGGGGGTGTTGTTGCTCTATCCTCTATGACAAAGAGCTGTCAGGATTTCCTCCTTCCTTTTGGTCGCCCAGCATTTTCTGATCTTCTTTCTTTATGGCGTTCTTTATCTCCCCTGCTTTTAGTGGTACCTAATTTCTCTAATCACTGCTAAAGCTATTTTCCAATTGCTTAGGTAAACAATGAGCTAGGCTGACAGTTGGCAGCTCACGCCAACCTGGAGCTTCGAACTTGCAACCTTTTGGTTGATAGATCTTATAATTGCTGATGATTTACCAGCTGTGCTGAACCTTACTGTGTATTGAACTGCTTATTTTGTCAATTTTGTTGTAAAATATGACATTTTGGTGCTTAATTTGTAAAATCGTAACGTATTTTGACATTTAATAGGCTTTTCCTTAATCCCTCCTTATTATCCAACATTTTCACTTGTCCAATGTTCTACCAACCTATGTTGGATAAGCGAGACTCTACTGTACTTCCAAGCTCTGCCCCGTTCAACACAGCCTCCTACCTCATTAATGTCTTCCATAAGGCAAAGAGCCCGCAGCAGAAGGCCTTCTTCTTCTGAAAGGATGTATACATCTTGGATGCCTTGTTCCAGCCACTCTCCGGGCCTCAGGAAAAAGGAAACCTCTCCCTGGAGAAATGATAGGAAAAGGTTGGGAAACAGCAAAGGTGAGGTTCTGTAGTTAGCCTAGGAAATACAGTGCCATACTGTGCCTATGTGGAATGGGAAGCCATCCTACCAACATGTACAGAAGTAGGGGGATATACCTGTGCTCTAGTTTTACCCTGGGGGGCCTCTCATATGGAAAGCAAATGGCTCAGAGTTATGGAAATTTGTAGAGCATTAGCATTCCAGCACAGAAGCTGAGAAATATAAGATTATTGGGTACGTGGGCTTATTAACAAAAGACCCTCCTCATATATGCACAGCAGAGTAACTTATTAGCAGCAGCGTGACCCACCACCAGAAGCCCAAACAAAACACACAGACCAATGTTATATCTTCCTTAGGAGGATTTTCTTTATAGTAAAATAATGTGATAATAATTTACACAAACAAGGTTTCCATGACACAAATAAAATTCGAGCTTCACACATGAGGCCTTCTCATAACAAGGCCTACCTCACACTCTGAGGCCTTTCTCCTACAGTAAGGCCTAGTACCACTGAGAGCTATTCTCCCACTGAGGTGTTCTCTCACATGGAGAGGCTTTTCTCACACTGAGAGCGCTCTCAGACTGAGGCGTTACTAAGCAACAGGCACACCTGCTTATATTGAACTACAGCTTTTGCTGCATCATTGCATCCATTTAACCCTTGACTCATATTTTTGTAATTAAAAATAGCTAGTTAATATTTCTGACAAAGATCTCAGATGATAGTCTAGGAATGGGATACAAATGTGGTACAATTCGATCAAGGACTCATGAATGAGAAGACTGGCAACAGTGAAGGAGATTTCCTGAAAGTATGGTATGTTGTAGGACAAGACTACAGTGTGGTTAAACCTGCTTGATAACTCTGTTGAATCACAGTCAGACTTCAGATTTGCTGGGATTAGGACAGGCATGGGCAAACTTGGGCCCTCCAGGTGTTTTGGACTTCAACTCCCACAATTCCTAACAGCCTCATGCCCTTTCCTTTCACCTCTCAGCCGCTCAACCTGCTGACCCACAGGTTGAGAAACAATGCACTAGACCAGTGGTTCTCAACCTGTGGGTCCCCAGATGTTTTGGCCTTCAACTCCCAGAAATCCTAACAGCTGGTAAACTGGCTAAGATTTCTGGGAGTTGTAGGACAAAACACCTGGGGACCCACAGGTTGAGAAACAATGCACTAGACCATAACTGGTATTATGTCGTCCACAGCTGACGAAGCGCACGGTCCTTGGAAGCGGGCACATACCTTGATCACCTTCTTCTGCCCAAGTTGGGGCTTGCCATCGTCACCCACTGGATCAAAAACCACGCAGTACTGGCGGCTGTTCAGGGTGGTGATGTCAACCACTCCCACCACTTCCTCATAAACGTCTGGGATATGGGCCTCGGTATCAGCCATGGTGACCAGCCATTCTTCCCCAGTCTTCCTGAGAGTGCCTTGGGAGTCCTGGAAGGTCTTTGTGGCCCGGAGGTGGAGCGCTTTCTTCAAGAGGGAAGAGAGATAGGCATGGAGAAGGCGACACGGACTTGGTTAGCCCACTATTTGTACAATACAACTTACATAGGAAACTGAGCAAGACTGCGGGGGGCTGTCTATCACAACTAGCTTTAATCTGAATGTGTGTATTAGGAAGGAATACTCAGAGATGCTTTTGCCTCTGATTTATAAGAAGGCAATGGCAAACCTGTTGTGAATAAATTTTGTCAAGAAAACCCTGTGTTGCTGTTCATTTTTCATTTTTTTTTAATATTTAGTACACTGCAGAGAATTTTGGTGACTGAGTAAACTATAATACATGCACACACAGACAAGCACACATTTGTATTTTCTAATATATATAGAATCATAGAATTGAAAGAGACCTCATGGGCCATCCAGTCCAACCCCCTGCCAAGAAGCAGGAACATCACATTCAAAGCACCCCCGACAGATGGCCATCCAGCCTCTGTTTAAAAGCCTCCAAAGAAGGAGCCTCCACCACACTCTGGGGCAGAGAGTTCCATTGCTGGACAGCTCTCACAGTTGTTCAGGTGGAATCTCCTTTCCTGTAGTTTGAAGCCGTAGTTCCGTGTCCTAGTCTGCAGGGCAGCAGAAAACAAGTGTGCTCCCTCCTCCCTATGACTTCCCCTCACATCTTGATACATGGCCCTCATCATGTCTCCTTCTGCAGGCTGAACCTGCCCAGCTCTTTAAGTCGTTCCTCATAGGGCTTGTTCTGCAAACCCTTGATCATTTTAGTTGCCCTCCTCTGGACACATTCCAGCTTAGAGTCAACATCTCCCTTCAATTGTGGTGCCCCAAATTGGACAGTGTGATTCCAGGTGTGGTCTGACCAAGGCAGAATAGAAGGGTAGCATGACTTCCCTGGATCTAGACAGGCCAAAATACCACTGGCTTTTTTTTTTTTTTGCAGCTGCATGACATTGCTGCTCATGTTTAACTTGTTGTTTTCTTAAGAAATGGGGCTACAAAGTGGAATCCATGATATGCGAGTGTGGAGAAGAGCAAACCACAGACCATCTACTGCAATGCAACCTGAGCCCTGCTACATGCACAATGGAGGACCTTCTTGCAGCAACACCAGAGGCACTCCAAGTGGCCAGATACTGGTCAAAGGACATTTAATCAACTACCAAGTTTACAAACTTTGTGTTTTTTTTAATGCAATACAACTGTTTGGTTTGCTCCTGAGACGATAAATAAATAAAACTTGTTGTTCACGAGGACTCCACGATCTTTTTCACATGTACTGCTATTGAGCCAGGCATTGTCTCCAATTCTGTATCTTTGCATTTCATTTTTTTCTGCCTAAGTGGAGTATCTTGCATTTGCTCTTGTTGAACTTCATTTTGTTAGCTTTGGCCAATAATCTCTCTAATTTGTTAAAATCGTTTTGAATTCTGCTCCAAAAGGACTTTTACAGGCACATATTAAACATCTTATTCGTTTTTTATGTTTGAAATACAGGGTAAGGGTAAGGCAGCATAACTTCCTTTTTTAAAATGCGTAATGTATATTCAGTCGGTTAAAGACGTAGTGGAGCACTAGTGGTCTCGTTTGAGAGGCGGGAGTATAAAGTTTTGTCCTGACACAGTTCAGTCGCCATCATGCGTTGGAACAGTGAGGAGCGTGCTTTTGCCATTGAGGCCTACTTTTCGAGCGGATTTGGAGTGGCTGGCCCACTCTCCAGATTTGGCCCCTTAGGATTTTTTTCTATGGGGTTTTTTGAAATCCCGTGTTTATGTGAACCGTCCAAGGACCCTACAAGATTTGAAGACCAACATCCAGGAAGACATTGCCAACATAACGCTGCTATGTTGGCAAGAGTCATGACAAACGCCAGAAATTGGTTTACTCAGTGTATGGAGAATGGAGAATGGGGGACCTCACCTACCTAATTTGATCTTCAAAACTACGTAAAACAAAACTTTAGGTATGCGCCTACATTATAAAAAAAATTAAAAATTCTGATTCATACAATGGGTTTTATTAAGTTTTGAAAAAAGGAAGTTATGCTGCCTCACCCTGTATGAAAAAACAATGCTAGTTTTGTTTGAAGAACCGAAAAAGCTTCTTAGTAGCTTAAAAGCAATTTTTGTGACTTGGCTTTTTAAAATCTGTAGTCTATTATTCAGTTGTGAAGCATGTATTTTCTTTGAGCTAGAACATTCAAAGGGTGTGTCCACATTTACCTAGGAAAAGCACCTCTGAACTCAGTGGTGCAATATTTCTGGGTGAGCAGGCAAAAGTTCAGGCTGACAAACTCACTGAACACTTGATTAACAAAAGAAAGGGAGGAATATGAAAAAGTTTCTCCTATCTGCAGTGAAACAGCCGTATTTTCAACAAGCTGTTAACTGGGGAAAAAATGGTTACTATTTTCAAAATGGCAACGTCGCAATACTATAGCAGCTTCGAGGTGAGTATGGATATTGCAAAACTATTAAATTAAGACTTTAGTCCTATTCAGAATGTCAGTCTCCGTCTCTAAACGCTTTTCCTTCTGTATGCTGCTGACCACAAATGTATTTTGTTAGCTGCCTTCCAGCTGCCATTGATCCAAGCCCATCCCATGACTGAGAGACCTCCAAGTTACTCTTACCTTCAGCAACCGTAATCAGGGCTTGCAGACTCAGGGCCATGGCTTCCTGGATTCGGTCTATTGTATTACTATTGGTTTTTGGGGTTTTTTTGTCATGTCAGGAGCAACTTGAGAAACTGCAAGTCACTTCTGGTGTAAGAGAATTGGCTGTCTGCAAGGACGTTGCCCAGGGGACGCCCGGATGAATTGATGTTTTTATCATCCTTGTGGGAGGCTTCTCTCATGTCCCCACATGAGGAGCTGGAGCTGATAGAGGGAGCTCATCCGCCTCTCTCCGGATTCGAACCTGCGACCTGTTGGTCTTCAGTCCTGCCGACACAGGGGTTTCACCCACTGCGCCACTGGGGGCTCCATTACTATTGGTAATGTCAATGAAAAAGACCCCTTTCAATACAAGAGCCAAATTCAGTTTCAGAGACATTCTCAGGGTCCATGAATGGGGCAAAAGAAAGGGATCAGTAATAGTAAAGGTTTCCCCTTGACATTAAGTTTAGTTGACCCCATCTCTAGGAGGTGGTGCTCAACTCCATTTCTAAGCTGAAGAGCCAACATTGTTGGTAGACGCCTCCTAGGTCATGTGGCCAGCATGACTGCATGGAGCACTGTAGCTTCCCGCCAAAGCATTACCTATTGATCTACTCACAGTTGCATGTTTTCGAACTGCTAGGTTGGCAGAAGCTGGGGCTAACCATGGGAGCTCACCCCTTCCCACGGATTTGAACAGCCTATCTTTCATTCAGCAAGTTCTGAAGATTAGCAGTTTAACCCACTGTGTCACCATGGGGCCAATAATAATCAGTATATATTTCTCAAAAACCTTTTTTGTCAGCTGGTAAGATCTCATTCGCAGCATATAATTAACGCCATTGGATGTCACTTTAATTGCCATGACTCTACCCTATAAAATAGGAGCCCCCGGTGGCGCAGTGGGTTAAACCCTTGTGCTGGCAGAACTGAAGACCAACAGGCCACAGGTTCAAATCTGGGGAGAGGCAGATGAGCTCCCTCTATCAACTCCAGCTCCTCATGCAGGGACATGAGAGAAGCCTCCCACAAAGATGATAAAAACATCAAATCATCCAGGCGTCCCCTGGGCAATGTCCTTGCAGACGGCCAATTCTCTCACACCAGAAGCGACTTGCAGTTTCTCAAGTCGCTCCTGACACGACAAAAAAAAAACCCTATAAAATTGTGGGATTTGTAGTTTTGTGAAGTCCAAACAGCAATAGTGCCTCCCAAACAACAAACCAGATGCAATGCTAAAATTCTGTAGTGTGAAACGACCTTAGGAAATGTATTTCATCAACCATTAGGTTCAACAAAGAAACCACTCACCTTTTCAGTCAGGATAAAGGCATCCACGGTATCAACAACTTCTTCATACACTCCAGGCAGGTAAGCGCCAACCCGCTTCACCAACCACTCCTCACCTGAGGAGGAAGAGGAAACACCAGATATGTCAGACTGAAAAGAAAGAAAGTCCTAAAAGACTGTGGGTAAGGTAGCAGGGTTACCTGTCACACGTTTATTCCCTTCCCTGTCCTTGCATTCTTTCCGCGCCTGCAGTCTTATGGCTTGGTTAGGCCGAATGATGGTGGCCTGGATGGTCTCCACCACCTCTACCTCCTTTCGTGGGATGTAAGTGCCTACAAAAACGAAACAACTGATGAGTACCTGCTACATAAACTACGTAAACAAATTGACTTCCTGAGGAGATCTAGAAAAAGGTATCACTCTTCTAAAACTTTTATAATGGTAACTTTTCTAAAGTCTGCTAGAGGGAAGTTGCAAACCAAAACTAGCATTTTACGAGGTGTTTGAGTGGTTGGTGTATATCCATCCCACAAAATATAGTGGTTTTACACCACTTTAATAGCTATGGTTCCATCCTACAGATTTCTGAGATCTGTAGTTCAACAGAACCCTCTGCTCAGAACCCACTTCCTGAAATTCCAGCATTCCATAAAATCTTCCAGGTCACATTATTTGTCTATTTAACCCAATATCAGACGTGTCAGATTACCACTTTCCAGGCATGTTGAAGTATGAAGCAATACACAAGCCACCACTTGAACCATGTGATAGTCTTCCTCCTCCATTTAATGAAGCCATAGTAAAGGTAAAGGTATCCCCCTGACATTAAGTCTACTCATGTCCATCTCTAGGGGAGGGGTGGTGGTGCTCATCTTCATTTCTAAGCTGAAGAGCCAGCATTATCCATAGACACCTCTAAGATCATGTGGCCAGCATGACTGCATGGAGCGCCATTACCTTCCCACAGAAGCAGTATTTATTTATTTATTTCATGCACTTTTACCCCGCCCTTCTCCCCCCGAAGGGGGACTCATTGTACCTATTGAAATACTCACATTTGCATGTTTTCAAACTGCTAGGTTGGCAGAAGCTGGGCCTAGCAGTGGGAGCTCACCCCACTCCCTGGATTCAAATCGCCAACCTTTTGGTTATCAAGGTCAGCAGCTCAAAGGTTTAACTCGTTGTGCCACCAGGGGGCCCAAGTTGGCAGAAGCTGGGCCTAACAGTGGGAACTCATCCCGCTCCCTGGATTCGATCCACCAATCTTTCGGTCAGCAAGTTAATCAGTTCAGTGGTTTAACCTGCTATGCCATCGGGGGGGGTTAGCTTCTATTAAGGTAGGTAGTCCCCTGACATTAAGTCCAGTCATGTCTGACTCTGGAGTGTGGTGCTCATCTCCATTTCTAAGCCGAAGAGCCAGCGTTGTCCGTAGACACCTCCAAGGTCATGTGGCCGGCATGACTGCATGGAGCTTCTATTACCAACCCATAATAATGGAACTTGCAATAGAACATGTCTGGAGTATGACATGGTGAGGAAAACCCATTCTGCTTTAACCAGTAATGATTCTTCACAGTTTCAGGAGGTAATTTCCCCACCTTTCAACAGACAATGCCAGGGACTGAAGCCGAAATGTTCTGCCTCTGTGTTCTGCTACAGAAATGTGGTTCATTCCTGCCTGCAATTGCCACTTACCAGGCCCTTCAAACAGCCATTCATCTCCAGCAACATATTTGTCTCCTTGGTCAGTCTCAAAGTCCAAGAGGGCTTTCAGGTGGAGGGCAGTGTTAGCTAACACAACCTGCAGTGGGGTAACACCCTGGAGAGAAAGGAGAGGGAATAAGAATGTAAGAAGAACTCATCTGCTGGACTACACCACAGGCCTGGTTAGCCTGGCATCCTGATCCCATACTGGCCAAGCTGTTGCCTGTACAAAGTCTCTGAGGATGTAGATAGTTGCAGAAAAGGTTGTCAGAGAAGTTAGGTATATGAGGTATAGTGTATGTAATAACATAAGGATCTGTTAATCAGAGTGAGAGATGTGGCTGTCAAAGATAGGAATATGAATGACAGATGTAAATTAATTAGTTAGGGTCAGTCAGGATTTTGACAAGTAATTTCTAACTGTGCGTAAAACTTAAGTTTCATATTTTTTTCTTTATTGTACACTAGCCATCCTCTGCCACGCGTTGCTGTGGTCCAGTCTATGTGTGTTTTGTGTGTGCAGTCTATGTGTGGCATTGTGTGTGTATATATGCATATGTGTGTGTATATATTTGTGTATGTGTGTATATATATATATGTGTGTTTGTGTATATATGTGGTTTTGCGCATGCGCTGTAGCGTCTTTTTGCTTTTTTGGCTTTTTAAGTCTCTTCTGCTGTGTTTTTCAGTATTTTTATGAGTGATGGTCACTCGTTGGCCTGAGAGGTGTATTGCGTCCAAATTTGGTGTCAATTCGTCCGGTGGTTTTTATGTTATGTTAATTTCACAAACAAACATTACACTTTTATTTATATAGATTTGTGCCTCCAAGAAAGCTACACTACACTAGTGGTGCATGAATTCAAATGCAGGGTATCTGTGGTGACAGTCATGGTTTATTATTTTTATTTATTAGGATTTATACCCCATTTTTCTCCCAAACAGGGATTCAAGGCAGTTGGTGGTTCAAGAATGGTGGTGTCTACAGGTGGGATTATAGAAATAGTCTAACATGGGCAACCATGAGGGCATTTAGAAGGTCCTACATTTGGTACCATAGCTGTGGAGTCCTCACATTTGGTAGAAGTAGTGAGCTAAATAGAAGTTTAGAAGTTTCCGATTTAGCAACTAAGGAATAACGGCAATGCAGAAACCCACTGCATAAGAGATATCAATTGCTGTACATATTCATGTATAAGTCTATTATTTATTTATTTGCAGTATTTATATACTACCTTTCTCACCCCTGGGGGGACTCAAAGCGGTTTAAGTCTAGAATTTATAACCAAAAATTCATCCAAAAAACTGTGTTGATCTATCCACAGGTCAAAATAGCAGTTCAGAGATCGGCAGCCAGGTTACTAACTGGAGCTTCGCAGAGGGAGAGAACCACTCCCATGTTACGGCAGCTCCACTGGCTGCCAGTCCACTTCTGAACTAAATACAAAGTGCTTGTTGTTACCTATAAAGGCCTAAAAGGGTTGGGTCCAGGCTATTTGTCCAATTGCATCTCCCTATATAGGCCATCTTGTGCACTGCAGTCAGCAGAGGAGACCCTGCTCTTGGTCACACCTCCATCTCAAGCAAGGCTGGTGGGAATGAGAGAGTGGGCCTTCTTCTCTGTGATCATTCCCCATCTGTGGAACTCCCTTCCTAAAGAAATAAAAATAGCCCCCACTCTCCTCTCATTCAAAAAAACTTCTGAAGACACACTTATGTATCTTAGCGTATGGAGAGGAGGAGGACTAGCACTTAGCACCTTATGGCTGCTAGGGTTAGCACCTTATGGCCGCTATGGCTGCTACAGCCTGTACTTAAATTATCATTGACATTAGGTACCTTTTAAATTCTAGTAGTTTACTGCTTTAGGATTCATGTTTTTGTGCAATTATATTTTATTAGTGTAAGTATGTATTAGTATTTTTATTATATTAACTTTAATTCTTTTCTGTTCATAAGTTTATTAATGTTTATTTTTATTATTTGACTGTTGTGTGATTTTTAGCATGGCATTGAAGGTTTGCCTGTTTTGTATGTATGTAAACAACCCTGAGTCTCTACGGGGAGAGAGGGTGGTCTAGAAAGAAAGTATTATTATTATTATTATTATTATTATGCATGTTAATTCTTATAAAAATGGAACCATTTCCTTCTCTCAGTAGAATGGCAAAAGACAAGAATTTTACCCATCCTAGGAGAACCAAAAAGAAGCATCGGCATCCTCTGCTCTCTCTGCTGTGGAGACACTTCTGGCCCTTTTGAATGTCCGAATATGGAAATAGTGGTATCCAGGGGCAGGTGTCTTCCTCAGGAGCTATTTACTTTTCTCTGTGGAATGACCCATATCTACAGGTCATATCAAGATCCATAACTTCGACCTTTAAACAACCCCTCGACTTATATAAGAGGTTGACTTATAAATGAATATATACAGTACACTCACGGGGATGCAAGATTTAATAACCTCACCAGAATGGGGTCCCAAATACTGCCCTCTGTGAAAGAAGAGATCGACGTAACCTTACCTGCTTCAGTTCCTCCCCTGGATACAAAGGGAAGGGATCTTGAGCCAGTCGGATCTCTAGATCAGCATGCCTGAGTCGCACTTGCCCCACTGGGTCAAGCTGGATGGCACCGTCTACTCCACGGATGACTGGGTTGAGGATGATGCAGTAATGGCGTGGGGGGACCATGACCATCTTAACAGGTGGAAATATGATCCTAGGTTGAGAAAAAGGGTGGGATCAGAAGAAAGGGACATCTAGGGATTTGGATCCATTTGAGTCAAAATCTAATTGCCATGTTGTGACCATCCTAAAAAGGATGGTCATGTGCATAAGGCTACTCACATTGGCATATGTCACCATTGGGATTCTAGTCTTAGCAACTCAGGTTTAGCAAAGTTATATGGTCTTAGAAAGCTCCCATAATAGCTTTGCAAAAGGCTTTGTCCCAACTTAGCAAATCCGGGTTAGCAGATGTTACTGGAAATGGTCAACACTATTTTATCGGCAGCTTTTGCAGATGTGAAACTACTCAAATATAGGACACAAACACAACTCATTAAAAACCAAGGAGGGAAAAATCTTTGCGAGAGGAAGAGATAATTGCAAACAGGAACAACGATCACCAAAGTCTATGAATGACTCAGGAATTCCAAACAGAGCAACTGCTAGGGCTGAGAGAACACATCCCTCCCTTCACAGCATTCCTTTGCTGCGCTACCAAACCTCAACATTGAAAATATACATATAAGAAAGTTGCAGAGATTTTTTCTCTTTCGGGCATGTAGGAAAAATATCTTACATTCTTGATTCTTCCTGGCTTGTACTGGGACTGAAAATGCCTTCATTTAACCAGAAAGTGAACTGGAAAACCTATGTATGTTTCACTTCCTGCTAAAAAGAGCCTGGGGGAATCCCAAATGCAATGAGACTGAAATGTGTGTATTTATGTATACATACATATACTTATACATACACACACATACCTATATAAAGGAGAAAGGAATATTAGAGTCCATGGGCCATACTTCCCCCAGTCCAGAATATAATCAATGTCAGCTTGGTAAACTAACATTTGTACAAACTTTATGGATTTGGTGGGTCTATTCCAGCTGAATTAAACAAGAAACAGCAGACATCTTCTCTGAAGTCTCTTCCTTAAGCTCTCTAGCAGACCAGAGAAGTCAAGATTTTGATTCCATTGTGTGGGTGGGATGGAATTGATACAGGGCCAAGTTTGGCTAAATAATAATAATAATAATAACAATAACAATAATAATAATAATAATAATAATAATAACAATAATAAACCTTTATTTATACCCTGCTACCATCTCTCACAGGACTCGGTGTGGCTTACAAAAATACATCAGAGACAAAAAACACAACAACAACAATACAACAATAAATAACTCATAGCAAATCAAAACAATAACAAAAATATCACGACGCATTTAAAAACCTGTGGCAGGGCCAAATGTAATGGTTAAATTTTTTTTAAAATGCTGGGCATGTCCAGGTGAAATAGGATGGATATTTTAGGGATAAGTGGGTGTGCAGACAATTCTAACTCTCTCGTAAAGTATATTTGAGATAAATTGCTTGGGATTCCTTAATCTAGGAAGGCACACTGGAACATCCATGTTTTCAAGCTCCTTCTAAAGACTGCCAATGTTGGGGCATGCCTGATGTCCTTGGGCAGGGAGTTCCAGAGTTGTGGGGCCACCACTGAGAAGGCCCTGTCCTTTGCTCCCACCAATCGCGCTTGCGATGCAGGCAGGATTGTGAGCCGGGCCTCTCCAAATGAACGAAGAGGTCATGTGGGTTTGTATACGGAAATGCGGTCACGCAAACCGTTTAGGGCTTTGTAGGTAAGCACCTGCACCTTGAATTGGGCCCGGAAAATGAATGGCAGCCAATGGAACTCCTTAAACAGGAGGGTTTAATAAGCCAAATATGTACCTGTTGACCTCCACAGCCCACCAGATTCTGGACCCTCCTTACCTCTCATTGTCCTGACGGATGTAAGTCTTGGGCCCCACCTCCACCCGAGTCACGTTTGAGTTCTGGTCCAAGACATGAGTATAATGGTATGGTGGGATCCGGATGATGGATTCAGCAGCCATTTTGTCTTCTAAAGAATAAGATAAATAAATAAACTCCTGGAATGGACTCGGGGTGGCTCACAAAAGCACTCTGGAGCGCCGCACATAAAATAAACAGTACGTAAGCATATAAATTGTAACAACATAACTTTACAACAGCAAACACACATAAAACATCACATTAAAATTCATAAAATGCTGTAGTGCCTGCGGATAAAACTGGCTGTCTTCAATTGACGATTCAAAATGCCAGAGTGAGGCAATCACTAAGTCCTCAAGTCGTAGCATTAAAATCTACTCAAGGGCAAAGGTCTGTTTAAAAAGCCATATTTTTAGACCAGACCGAAAAACTTGGGAGAGTAGGGGCTAACCTAATGTCTCCGGAAAGGGCATTCCAGAGTTGCGGGGCCACCAACGAGAAGGGCCTCTATGTTCCCACCAACCATACTTGGGACAGTGGTGGGACTGAGAGAAGGTCCTCCCTGGCAGATCTCAGAGCTTGCGCCAGTTCCTAGGAGGAGATGCGGTCTCGAAGATAGGTTGGATACAAAACGTATTGGGCCTTATAGGTAATAGCTTGCACTTTGAATTGGGTCTGGAAACTTGTCGGAAGCCAGTGGAGCTGTTTTAATAGGGACAGAGTAGCTCCCTATAACTAGCCCTAGTTAGTAATCTGGTTGCCCATCTTTGCACTGACTGCAGCTCTTCTGAACCGTCTTCAAAGACAGCCCCACATAGAGTGCATTGCAGTAGCCCATTCTGGATGTAACTAAGGCGTGGACCACCGTAGCCAAGTCTGGCTTTTCAAAGTAAAGACGACTACAGAAGGAATGAAGCATTAGATTAGAATCCTCTGGGACAGGGATATCAAACTCATTTTCACTGAGGGCAACGTCAGCCTTATATTTGGGGCATTGACTCCATGGAGGGACAATCCATGGATACAGAAGGCCAACTATAATTTATTTTATATAGTGGTTGGTGCTCTTTACTTTTTACCCAATTTGGGCCACCAGGCGTTATTGAACCATAACTCCCATCACTTTTTATTATCTGCCATGCATACTGGGGATAATGGGAATTGCATTCCATTCGCATTTGAGATTCTGAGGTTGGGAAAACATTAAAGGTTTTAAAGTCAGGCCTCATATCCACAAGTCTTGTATCTAAATTCGAACCATGCTGTCCTGGTTAAACAGAACAAACTGCAGCCTTCCAGGTGTTGCTATATCACAACTCCCATCAGTTCTAGTCATGATATCTAACAAGGAGAAATACATATTGGGGATTAAGATCGTCTGAGGAGGCCATGCTTTCAGTCCCACCTGCTTTGCAAACATGGCTGGTGGGGACGAGAGACAGAGCCTTCTCAGTGGTGGCCCCTTGTCTATGGAACTCCCTCCTGAGGGATATTAGATCAGCCCCCTCCCTCCTAGCCTTCAGAAGGAGAGTCAAGACCTGGATCTTGGAGCAGGCTTTTGAAAACGAATGCAGTACAATAACCTTAATGTGGAATAATGTGCAATTTGACTACGAAATGGCCTTAGACTCTGGATTATGGATGGCATGTTTTTAACACTGGCTGGAATATATTTTATTATGTTTAATATGTTAGTTTTAATCCAATTTATTTTAAGTCACTATTGTATGTTGTGAGGCATTATGTAAGTGCCAACTGTAAGCTGCTTGGAGTCCTCCTCGAGGTAGAGAAAGGCGGGATGTACTGTATATACTCGAGTATAAATCTAGTTTTTCAGCCCCCTTTTTAGGTTGAAAAAGCTCCCCTCGGCTTATACTCAAGTCAAGGTTATTTATTCTTTTACTCTGTTATTAGTATTATTTTATTACATTTATTATTTCACTCTATTATTATTATATTTACATTATTTTGCTCTATTATTCTATTTATTATTTTGCTCTATTATTATTATTATTATGATTATGATTATATTCCCAGTATTTTACCCTATTATTATTACATTTTTATTTTAATCTATTTATTATTATTATTATTATTATTATTATTACATTTACAGTATTTTACCCTATTATTATTACATTTATTATTTTAATCTATTTATTATTATTATTACATTTATAGTATGTTGTGCTATTATTACTACATTTATTATTTTACTCTATTATTACTGTTTTTATTGCGTTTTCATTATTTTACTTTATTATTTTTATTATATTTATTATTTTAATAATAAGCACATTTACATTGAAGGAGGTTAGAATAATGGTTTAATAAGAGTTGGGCAGTCATATCTTAAATTACGGTTTTATGTAAATATTCAGAAACATTTAGCCTATTGATGCCTCAATTAATGTAATTTTCAATGTATTTATTTGTCGTGTCAGGGCAACCAGTCAATTATATTACATTTCTAACAGAACAAAGCAAACAAACAGACAAAATACAAAATTTGTGAGTTTGGTAGTTGATTAAATGTCCTTTGACCAGTATCTGGCCACTTGGAGTGCTTCTGGTGTTGCTGCAAGAAGTTCCTCCTTTGTGCTTATTGGTATCTATTTTTATTTTGAAATTGACCCATAGTGGATGCATTTCCCACCCTCGGCTTATACTTGAGTCAATACGTTTTCCCAGTTTTTTGTGATAAAATTAGGTGCTTCAGCTTATATTCGGGTCGGCTTATACTTGAGTATATACGGTAAATAAGGTAAATAAATAAATAGATAAATACAAGAGTTGTAGTCCAGCATTTGGAGAGCTGCACAGAATTACATAGTGGGCTGGATTCAGCCAGTGGGCCTTGAGTTTGATGCACGCAGTTTGAGAGAAGACGCCATTATGGCAATGGCCTTAACCCATTGCCTTCCAGGTGTTCTGGACTCTAAATCCCATTTCCCTTAGACAATGTGGTGTCTACTGGCTCGGGATGATGGGAACTGAAATCCAGCAAATCTGTACTGTGCCTAGCGGGGTAAGAAGCTGTAGGGCAGACACACCCTGTCCTCTTGCTCATCTCTCCTCCAACCACTAACTGGCAGGGCTTTGAGGAATCCAGAAACACCCAATGCCCACTGTAACGCAACACATTTATTGTGTTTAATCCTTCAACAAACCGAGGAAACCAGCCTGGCCTGTATCGGGAACCCTTGAGGTCCTATTACAGGGACACACCTACTTCCAGTAACTAGAATAATCCTCCCCATGGCTATGCGTTACTAGCAGCTCATGACTCTTCTGATCACGGAAATGATAGGAAATGAGCTTACCAGACCTAAATCCTGCTGAAAATGTAAACTTCAGGCTTAACTCCTGGACAAGCCTAGAGCAACTTGACCTGGAACAGGGAGAAATGTGGCAAATTCAGATTTCTATGCAATGAAACCAACAGGAAGAATCAGAGTCCACATTACTCAAGGAGTCAGATGGACTGCTTTATGGCAAAGAGAAGTTCTCCACCCATTTTCTGAGCCATCATTATAGCCCTGAGATCTCATACAGTCTTTAATCAAGCAACTTTCTAACTCTAGAGAGAAATAAATTACAAGGGAAGGAAGTGAGACCTGGAAAACAGTGGGAGACTTCCATTTCTCACTTGGAAGGTGCAAGAGAAGGAAGGAAGGAAGGAAGGAAGGAAGGAAGGAAGGAAGGAAGGAAACCTTACCGTGCAAGAGAGCTTGTTTTCTCTTTCTGCTATATCCTCTTGTGGGTTAGGCAAAAATCCCCCCTCCCTAAAGATTTATTTCCTGGTAGAGGAGGAGCAAACTCTTGTGGGGAAGAGAGCCTGTTAAAGGGCAAGCAGATTATGAAATATTCTCCTTTACACATGACTCATTGGAAAACATAGGCAAATCGTAATGGCAAAGCAAGCATAAGGGAATGTACCCAACAACTGAATGGCGAGGAGGGATACTTGCAATACATTTTGAAGTGCAGCCAACCCCTTTTCATTCAGGTCTGCATGAAGATGACTTGGCCGCAAAAGATGGCATGTGTATGTGTGTATGGGGCAATGGGGTCTCTATGCTGCATGATGGAGACACTATGTATGTGGTTTGGACATTGGACTACAACTCAGGAGAGCACGCTGCTTGGCCCTTAAAACCCACTGAGTGATGGGGTCTGAAACTTATGGCGACCATGTGAAAGGGATCTAGGAGGGATCAGACCTCACAACATCTGAGGATGCCTGCCAAAAATGCAGGTGAAACGTCAGGAGAGAATGCTTCTGGAACATGGCCATACATCCCGGGAAACTTCCAACAACTCTGTGATTCCGACCATGGAAGCCTTCGACAATACACGGTTCTAGGAGTCTTAGTAGACCACATGTTGAACCTGAGTCAACAGTGTGATGCTGCAGCTAAAAAGGCCAATGTGATTCTAGGGTGCATCAATAGTAGTAGTGTCAAGTCTGATGCTTTGCAAGGTGGTGGAGTCTCCTTCCCTGGAGGTTTATAAGCAGAGGCGGCATGGACATCTGTCAGGAGTGCTTTGCGTTTTCCTGCATGGCAGAAGGTTGGATTGGATGATCCTTGTGGTCTCTTCCAACTCGATGATTCTGTAAGTTTCCAACTTATGGCGAACCTATCATCCAGGCATACAATGTGTCAAAGACATACAGCAACAATGTGGCAAGATCAGAAACCATATGAAATCGCAACATGATAGGGGTGTCTGATCTTAACAGATTAGAGATGGGCCAAAACTAACAAAATGAAGTTCAACAGGCACAAATGCAAGATTCGCCACTTAGGCTGAAACAATGAAATGCAAAGATACAGAATGGGGGACCATGCTTGGCTTGACAGCAGGACGTGTGAAAAAGATCTTGGAGTCCTCGTGAACAAGTTAAACATGAGCAACAATTTCGTGCAGCCGCAAAAAAAAAAAAAAAGCCAATGGGATTTTGGCCTGCATAACTAGGAGTCTGGTGTCTAGATCCAGGGAGGTCGTGCTACCCGTCAATTCTGCCTTGGTCAGAGCACACCTGGAATCACACTGTGTCCAATTCTGGGCACCACAATTGAAGGGAGATGTTGACAAGCTGGAATGTGTCCAGAGGAGGGTGACTAAAATGATCAAGGGTCTGGAGAACAAGCCCTATGAGGAGCAGCTTAAAGAACTGGGCATCTTTAGCTTGCAGAAGAGAAGGCTGAGAGGAGACATGATGAGAGCCATGTATAAATATGTGAGGGAAAGTCATAGGGAGGAGGGAGCAGGCTTGTTTTCTGCTGCCTTAGAGACTAAGACACGAAACAATGGCTTCAAACTACAGGAAAGGTGTTTCCACCGGAACATTAGGAAGAACTGTGAGAGCTGTTCAGCAGTGGAACTCTCTGTCCCGGAGTGTGGTGGAAGCTCCTCCTTTGGAAGCTTTTAAACAGAGGCTGGATGGCCATCTGTCAGGGATGCTTTGAGTGTGATTTTCCTGCTTCTTGGCAGGGGGTTGGACTGGAATGCCCATGAGGTCTCTTCCAACTCTTATGATTCTGATTCTTGGAGGGGAAGACACAAAGGGGGCAGTTCTATAGCTGAATCCCTCACCAATCCCAAACAGGATCAACAACATAATCTGCTGGAGTGCCAGGATAATCAATGGGCCTTCCCCACACTAGCAAATATACGAGGCGATAACAAGACTTAAAAGTTTTACTATCACTTGCTGTTTCTAATTAGCGTCGAGGATATTCAAGATCATTTTTTGTGTCGAACTAGCAATTTGAATGGCAGTATTTCTTTACTGTGACCCATGTAGAGAGTACTGCAAAGGGTGAGGCAATCCCTGATCAAACACTATAAAAACTAGTGTAAGTTCCGTTTACTTTCCTGTTTTCAAAGGCACTCAAGCTCATCTAGAGACAAGGATTTGGGCAGTCTACCAACAACCACTATGGGGCAGGGCTCCTGTGCCTTTAACAGCTTGATGAAAAGAGGGAATGTGGCAGGTGTGCCTTTGTGTCATTTTGCTCCCATACAGAGAATTCAGGGTAGTTCTTAAAGACACAAACAAACATAAGCTCTATCCCAAATATACCCCACTTTCTTGCATGTTAGTGTAAAGAATATGTAATATATGTGGTTCGGAGTGATTCCGGCCATGAAAGCCTTTGACAACACATATTTTATCATACATGGGCAAGAACACAAAGAACTAGAGTGGAAAGACAGCTTGCAGTATTGTTATGTATTTAGGAGCAGTTGATACAGTGGGCGCATTTTTATTCCACAAAGCATAGATTTCCAAATATTCCTATAGAAATGCTCCCTCGGTTCATGAAAACTGCCTCACTGTGCTTTCCCAAAGTGCTATGCTTATAATATAATGTAATATAATATAGTGTATATACATATATTTATATTTGTAATATTAATATTACATGATATATAAATATGTAATTATAATATCATATTATTAGTATTATATTGTATTACAATACTAATAATATATTTTTTATTTTTTTATTTATTTACAGCTTTTATATTCCGCCCTTCTCACCCCACAGGGGACTCAGGGCAGATTACAGTGTACACATATATGGCAAACATTCAATGCCAATTTTGACATACAACATATACAGACATAGACAGAGGCTATTTAACTTTATCTGGCCACCAGGGGAGCTGTCGCTTTCATCGTCCATCTGCGACGCTGATGAAGTACTTCCGCATTTCCCACATGCTTTTTGTTGGAGTGCTTGCTGGAGTCTTTTTTTATGGTCTCATAAATTAGTTAATTTAGCCTCCCCACACTTTAAGGTGGTACCTTATTTTCCTACTTGACAAATGCAACTGTCTTTCGGGTTGCAAAGGTCGACAACAGGCTACACAATGGTTGGAAACCCACTCCAACCTGGGCTGGCTTCGAACTCATGACCTTTGGTCAGAGTGATCTTAATGCTGCTGACACTCAGCCAGCTGCGCCACAATCCCGGTGCATTTTATATATATTTCTTGTAATATTAATAATATTACAATATAATGGTATAGTACTATAAAGTAATAATAATAATAATAATAATAATAATAATAATAATAAACTTTATTTGTACCCCGCCACCATCTCCCCAAAAGGGACTCGGAGCGGCTTACATGGGGCCAAGCCCGTACCCTTCGAGGTGAGAAGGACGGCATACAAATGTCGTAAATACATAAATAAAGTCGGGTCAGCACTCCATTGTAAGCAAATCATTTCACGCACCATTGAATTGCACGAAAACGTGAGGTCATACATCAACCAGCAAGTTGCCAACCTCTACCAGTACGCATGCGCTGACTTTCTCCCGCAGTCTCCCTGCTTGGAGCACACGCATGCGTAGAATAGTCCTTTCCTGGAGTCGGGCATCTTGCCGCGGATGCGCGCTAGGGGTCTTATGAGTCTTGGGAACGGCCGACCATTTTGGCCGCGCATGCGCTCTAATGTTATTTACAAGAACCTGCCCGGGCGCGCGACCCGTCGGTCAAGCAGCCCTTCTGCGCACGAGCGCATTGTTTTCCGAGCACCCGCCTCCGCCTACCAGTCCTGGCTTCCTTACAGAGCGCATGCGCACTTAAAAAAAAACACCCCACCGATCGCTTTTCAACCCCGCATGCGCGTTGAAGAAATTGACTTTCAAAAACTGCGGGTTTGAATACTTTTTAATTTCACCCCGCTATTTAAAACAAAATTCTAAAATGGGTCCTTAATTCACATAAGGACCAACTGAAGGGTAGCGTTGGTCACGCGAGAAGGCGGCCTTTTTGTTGTCGTAGTAGTGTCTCCTCTGGCGCTAAGCCGTCCGCCATTTTCTTTGCCTTCTTGCTCAAATCGGTTACGTCATCGCTGTCGTGCGCAAACCTGAAGTGTGGTGCAGTCCTGGGTGTTTTTCCTCAGAAGACCAAAGGGCAATGTTCCCTCTAAGGCACCCTCAGAGTGACAAGCAAAATGGAGTCCCTTTGGTTCACTGTTTCTCTCACTGTAACTACAATTACCCATTGAGGAAATCTTGTTGAGCCTAGTGGAACCTTTCTCCCTCTGAATAAAATGAATAAAAAACTAAATCTGAAACCAACAGACTAATCCAGGCATGGGTTGGGCCCTCCAGGTGTTTTGGACTTCAACTCCCACCATTCCTGACCTCAGGCCTTAACTCCCACCATTCCATGGGCAAACTTGGACCCTCCAGGTGTTTTGGACTTCAACTCCCACCATTCCTGACCTCAGGCCTTAACTCCCACCATTCCATGGGCAAACTTGGGCCCTCCAGGTGTTTTGGACTTCAACTCCCACCATTCCTGACCTCAGGCTTTTTCCTTTTCCCCCCTCAGCCGCTTAATGAACCCTGGCGGCCATTTTGTGTGAGGAGAGGCTGTCACTCAAACGAGAAAACTAACGGGGAGGGGAAAAGAGGCGACCGTTACTCGCGCGCGCGGCCGCCTCGTCCCCAGCCAATCCGATTCCGCCTCTGAAAGGCAGAGAACCCTGCGGTGGCAGCGCTCGCCGCTCCGCCCAATCAGAGAGCCCCACACGGAGAGGGCCTTTGCGCGCCCCCGCGCCTGCCGGCCCCACCCAATCGCTACCTGCCGCCTTTCTCCACACACCCCTCCTTTATTTTTTCCCCCCTCCCTCTCAGGGAAAAAAAAAACCTGTGGGAAGGGGGAGGGGGGCGCCTGAGCGGGCGGGCGCGCGCGCGCAAGGGAGAGAGAGAGAGAGAGGAGAAAAAAAAGGGACCAATCAGCGCGCGCGCCGAGCTCTCCTCGCGCCGCTGCCTCCTCCTCGCTCGCTCG